TATATATATATATTACAGCATGTACATGTTAAAGTACTGAGTTTATAAAAAATTGTAATATATTATAATAATATATAGGCCTATATATTTTTTCTATATTTATTCACCAGATTGCACACACACACACACACACATGCATAAAGTAAAGTTTATTACTTTATTTTAATCAATCTGGTGTATCCTCTTACTAGAGATATGTATGAACACCCAGTAAAACATGTTGTACCATGAATATTTGTTTTAATATTTTCATATATTCAATTTTAGATTTCTTATGAACTACTATGTATCACTACTCCCTTGCTTTTTCAAGACACGAGACATTTCTAAATATTAAAACTAAGATACTTTAAATATGAGTTAAAGATCAAATTATATCAATACATTTATATCAACTTATTAATATTTCAGGAATTCAATGAGTTTCGATCTAAGTGTGGGTTATTATGGAGTTATGATTGGGTTAGCATTCCATTAGTTTATACTCAGGTAAATACTATTGTATTTTGTTACATACTATTTGACATTAGTGTTGGTTAAAAATTAAAAAACAATTCAAATGTTAAAATGATATGCTAATAAGATTTTTTGTTTTAAACTTAGGTAGTCACAATTGCTACTTACTCATTTTTCTTAGCTGCTCTGGTTGGGCGTCAGTATGTAGATGCAGCCAAGAAACCTCTACAAATGGAAATTGATATTTATTTGCCAGTTTTTACAATTCTCCAGTTCTTTTTCTTCATGGGACTGCTCAAGGTTTGTATGTGCAAGTGAAGTACTTTTATTTTAGACAATATAAAATTAATTTGGGACAATGATTTTGAAAGATTCATCACAGTAGCATTTTAAAAATGAGAAGAGTCATTAAAAATATGTTTATTCAAATAAAATGTCAAATAAGTTTGTTGCTATTTATCCATGAATTAGTTTCCGTTTATTGAATTCATTCTACTTAGAATACATGCAGTGGAACATTCATTAATCTGAAGATAATAATGGGGAAGGGGGTCCTTAGAAATACAAAATCCCTGGTAAATTGATTTTTTGTTCTTTTCATTGGTTCAAATGTATTCATGAAAAGGTTAGTAAGAACAAATGTGTATGTGCATGTATATATGTACTTTTTTAAGATTTTTTTAAATATTGTTTACTGAATTCGCAATTCTCTAATTATATTTCTTCTTGGAACTTCTCAAGGGTACATGTGTGCCCAGGGTGTTGGATGTGTGAGCAAGCAAGTGTGTATGTGGGTGCAAGTGTGCATGGTTGCATGCTTATGATTTATATCCTTGATATAAAAACACCATCAAAACATTTGGGAAAATGAGCTGAGTTCAAATGATGTAAACATTAATGATTTTCATTGGAAATTCAAGAATTACTTTTCCTGAAAGAAGGAAATGTTCTCTTGATTCATCATTATATGAAATTGAATTCATCCCCTCTCCAGCGTCTTGATGTCACAAAAACACAGCAGTGTTTTTGATTTAAAAATCATGAATTTCAAAGCTGGCCATTTTTATTTTACTAAAATTGTTGATGGGCTTTATATATAGGATAATTTCCTTCAAAATAAAAAACAAAAATTACAATTGAATAAATTTGTCGGAAGTGATGACATTCTTGTTTTAAGAAAATTAATTTTTACGTGTTTTATAATGTAATAGTTTATAAATCCATCTCTGTTGTACTCACCACCAGGTACCACTCACTTTGGATAATTGGATTCCTGAATAATTGAACTCTGGATAATGGAGGTCACACTGTATCAAAATTGATTTTTAAAATTGTGTTTGTAAAATTATCATCTTATGTATTTCTTAAGAGACAATGTAAAAATAAAAATCATACTAATTTAGATTTGTCCTCAGGGAAATTTGTGGTCTAGTATATGGTTTCAAGAAATGCAGAAGTTTTCTTCACTTACTACTAAGAACGGTTTTCCTGACACTACAAATAACACTAAAACACTGATTTATATTTGCAAAGACGATATTTATTACCAGACTTTTAAAACGTCACTATTACACAACCTTGATTACAAACAAACAACGTACATATAAATAACATAATTTTTTTCAACTTGTGTCAAGTATATTTGTGTCTATATTTCAACTGTAAGCCTACATAGTACTGAACAACAACTTTCACCTTTTTTCTTATTCCTGGATGAAAGCAGCTGATTTTATTGTAAAATGGCATTTTCAATCTAAATATTCCTTCCTATCATGAATAGATTTTAAGAAATTGGTAAGATTATGATATAAAATGTGGTAAATCAGAGGAAAACTCAGCATCATTGTTCACTGAAAGATGAAAGGTCTGTTCCTGATTAAACATTATGCCTGGAAAATATTTATCTTTTATCATTTATCCACTACATGATTCATTTCTTTTTTGGTCTTCCTGTATTCTCCACTCCATTGTTTTTTTGAAAAATTAATAACCCATTGCCTTCTTTATATGCCCTAGCAAGACCTTGAATTTCTTATGCTAGTATGATGATTCTGTTTTTTTTTCTCTTAGTACTAATAAATAGTGTTGGGCTTATGAGACTAGGATCCATCTTCCTAGTACTTCATGTTTTTAATTGAAATACAAGGCTCATTTTTACATTTCCATGTCATGTTTCTATAACTGTCTGTATACTGACTGCATGTTCACAGAAGAACTCTGATGAACACTACTGAATGACAGTCATTCACATATACACTGCCAATATGTGTTAAATAATACAATGCTAACTTCTTTATCATCATCATCATCATCATCATCATCACCATGAACATTTAAGGTATACGTCTGTGGCCTGTGCCTTTGGTTTATCAGTATCCCCTCAGTTGCTTCCAAGGTGATCTTGATGTTCCCTGTACCTTCTTGATCTGTTAGGGTCTCTTCTTCCTCTTGGTTTGTATTTGAAAACTTTTCTTGGGAAACATTGTATTTTCATTCTTTTGATATGTTCTTGGCATTTCTTTTGGTAGTTTCAATTTCTAAATAATATTTTTAAGTTTTTTGTTTTCGGCCTTTTTTTTTCTTATCTTATCTCTCCTTGAGACATAAAATTGATTTCTGTTATCGCATTTGGACAGTTTCGATTCTTTTTTGTGTCTTTGTTTCAGAATCCATATTTTATTACCATATAATAATGTGGGCTATGCAACAATTGTCTAATATAATTTTTGTCTCAATGTTCATATTTTGGAAGTGTCTTTTAATGCATCCATTTATTTTGTTGTACTTTGTTAATTTTGATTTCATATCTTCCTCTATCGATATCTCAATCCCTTAAAATGTGAATAATGTCACTTGTTCTTTCTAAGGCTATTTTTGTTTTCCTTTATTCTTTACCTATTAATCCTATGAGCTTTGTCTTTGACAGTGGTATTTTCACTTTATTATTCTTTGTGACTTTAATTTATGAGCTGCTCTTTGTAATTTGTCTTCGCTCACTACTTGTGAGGTAAAACAAATGTTGCACAAAACAAGGAACAACTTGTGAATTGACATAGAAAAACCAATCCCTACTCACATAGCATCTAATATCATGTTGTGAAAATTTCTATCAACTTGAATGTAATAGCCAAAAGTGCAATTTCAAGATTCAGTGTCTATATAAAAGTAACAGTATAGCTACAGAACAGTAACTAGAGATATGTTGGCCCGTACATATCTCTAGACCCATGTATATTAATAATATAAATTTTAACAACGATATTTAATGTATTACTTACCATTTGGACTGTATAAGTCTAAATAACTTGTAACAAGTTTTATACCTCTGCCTCTGGGTCAATGATTCTGTCTTGATCAGTTGTTGTCCAGTTTTCTTGATCCTTAAACAAATACTGAGTTTTGCTTCAGTATGTCACAAACAGGTTTTAACTGTTTTTGATGTTAAATAAACGATGAATGAAGAATGAGTGAATTATGAATGAGTGAACGGCGAATGAGTGAATGATGAATGAGTGATGAATGATTGGCGAATGAATAGCAGCTAGATGAATGAATGAACGAATAGCAGATGGATGATGATGAATGAATGGCAGATGGATGATGATGAATGAATGGCAGATGGATGATGAATGAATGATGAATGATGATGATGATGATGATGAAGATGATGGATGATGACTGAAGAATTTAATTAATTAATGGAGGAACGCATTAATAGAGGAATGAATGAATGAATGAATGAGTGAGTGAGTGGGTCAATGAGTGAGTGAATAATGTATAGTAACATATACGGAAGTTCAAAGTAACATATGCTATTGAGAACCAAAATTCCTGTTGACCAGTGTAATAGTATTAAGGTTGAAGTTGAAAGTAATGTTTGCTTTTTATATTCAGGTTGCTGAACAGCTAATTAATCCATTTGGAGATGATGATGAAGATTTTGAGCTGAATTGGTTAATTGATAGACACACAAAGGTAATAATTTTGAAGTAAATGAACCGGGAATGAATGTAATGGCTTGTGTTAAATATTTTTCATATTCATTTTAGGTTTCATATCTGGGTGTTGATATTCTTATGTCATCAGCACCACCTCTTGTGAAAGATATGTATTTTGACCAAGTTGACTTAACACTGCCTTATACTGAAGCATCTGTTGCTTATAAAAAGAAAACTTACCGTGGATCTGTTCACAACATGACGTAAGTTATATACCTCTTCTGTATTCTACTTTCACAACAAGGGATAGAGACGGGTTTTATTTCTAATAATGCCACATATAAGTGACTAGTACAATTAGGTGGAATGTTTGGCATTATATAAGGAATTTTATTGCAAATTGAAATACAAATTTAAATCCCTTCTTGTGCTGCATGGTTTCAAAGAGTGTAAATTTTAAATTAATATGCACGAGCAAGAGGTAGTTTTTCATTCCATCCAACTCTTTTTCTGTACCTTGCTGTACTTATAGTGAAGTTTTTCAATTGCATTTTATCATATAAAAACTAACTAAATAACAATTATTTTTAGTTCAGTAAATGGAAAAGAATTTATCGCTTAAAAAAATTATCATTAATTACATAATTAGAAACATTTATGTAAACAGCAATCGTCGTGTATTTTTTATCATATATTTTCATATTTTATTTTATTTTTTTGGTGTTATACTTGCAGATGACTTTGCTTCAGCAGTAGACATGCTGTACAATTTAAAGTTCATAGCAATTATTGCTGATTGGCCTGCAAGTCTAACAAGTTTTCATTACTCTTATTTAAACTTGAATAGCAATGTTGTTCCTTTTGATTAAGGAAGATTACAATTGAAAAGTGGTAATAACATTCATTATTGGTTCTTATACCTTGAGAAATGTCTAATTAAATGGGGGGGAGGGGAATAGAACTTTAGAGAAAGCCTGTAAGAGGACTATTTCAGATCCTAGCAGTTACACAATTTAATTTGTGAAAATATCTGCAGGTTACATCTTAAAGATCATTGTAGTGTTATTTTGTTCACAATAGAATTTGTCTGTTGAAAAAGTTATTTTAATTTGAGTTTGCAGAGTGATTCTGGCTGTGCCTTCTGCAGTTCCTAGTATTTCCTTTTCCTTAACATGTATGTTCATATGATCTATAAAACTAATGTGAAGATGACACATAAATAACACTGCAAATACTAAAAAAGATCAGTACTAAAAGACTGTGAACATATTCAGTATTTAAAAAAAAATGTTTAGATGAAGATAATATTTTAACACTCTGCTAGTAATTTTTATTTCATTTTTTATACATAACAATAATTTTACTTTTTTCACCAAATTAATTTGTTATTTGAAATGAAAATAGCAAAATGAAATAGTAATTGGATTATTATTTTTAAAATGAATCTTTTCTCATTTCTTTCTCATTAAGAGAACACTAATGAACTTTCATTTCAGAAATTCACTTTGGAAATATAGTTATAATCTTTAACTGCTTTATGTGAGTAAGTCTGGAAACTTGAATCTAAGATTAGTCAATTGTATATCATACATTTCAACCAAGATGTCTCCTTGTCATCTTATTTAGATCATGAATAGCAACAGCATATTCCAATTAAATGCTAGATGTTTCTATCACTCATCCATTGCTTTGCTGTGCAGGGTACCTGAGGATAAACACACTATGTTTTTGCCCGAAATTTCTGAGGAAGATGAAGACAGAACACCGACCCCGAGGTCTTCCCTATCCAATGTGCAGCATTTGGCACACTCTCGACCTACTGAACCTGCACCCGTGACAGCAGCAGCTGCAGGTACCTGGCGGTAAGACTTCCACCACCCATCCTCCCCTCCTGCCATGCGGGTGTTCTTTACAAGCGCCTCCCCTCCAGTCCACTCCTGCCTCTGCCTAACCCCACCCCACATGGAACAGGAGAAATCTGCACAGGGTACAGCATTTTGTATCAAAATCTGCAATGTCAAGAGAGCAAATGACATCTGCTTTGAAAACTGAATTAAAATGAGATAATATTGTTCCTTAGTGTTTGTTTATTGTACTGTGTGCTTATCACTTCATATAATTATAATATGTAACATGTTATTGAATAATTGCAATAGATATTTCCATTGTATTTATAGTGCTCAGTTTCCTGATCCTGCATGGTCCTGAAATAGTTATGCATAAATTGTGTGTGTCCTTTTTATTTATGAACATGTAGAAATGAAATACAGTTTAGTGTGGCTTTTTACTGCTTAACATACATAGCCATTAACCCTTAAGCATTTGTTCAAGGTGACTACAACACCCTTTCTGAATATCACGTTTCTATGAAAACTGTGTCACATGCATAGTTGCATGTTCATATATTTTTTAGAAAGGCATTCTGATTAGTCATGATTAGTTAAAAATATTTTTGAAGTAAAATAATTTTAAAAAAATTAATTTTACATACTTTTCTTAACAATGCAATTCCTATGTAAAAATTCTTCAATTCATTAAAAATATATTACCAGGGTACATCAATAAGTGTCTGCACTTTTGTTCTAATTGTCTGTAGGTTAACTGTATAGCTTTGTGCACTTGGCAGCCCATTGTTTACTTTGCTTACTGTAATTTTCAATATTAGAAACTATGTTTGCTTGAGTTGTTGCAACATAAACATGGCTGCACCACTCTCCATTTGCTCCAGAAAAGAACGGGCACATGTATACCATTTTTTGTGATCTAAATGTGTTACAAAAGCTGAAATACTTGAATAAATTTCAGCCCAATGTGGGTGTAATATGTTTCCATGATGTAGAGTTTACTAGTGGATTGAACCATTCAAAAGCAGTCCAAAAGCATCCAGGATGAGATAAGAGCAAGATGACCAGCTCCATCCATTACTGAGCCCAATATTGAGCAAGTCCATACCTTAGTTCTCAATAACCAATGAATGACTATTGATGAAGAGGCAAACCATATGCATATTAGACAGGTTCTGCATATGAGAATGCCATGAGAATTATCGAGTCTTTTATTGCAAGACAACACACGCTGCCCAAGCTCTTCAAAACCTGTATTTTGAGGTGTCAAGTGTCCCAGATACAATTCTGTTCTATTCACATCTAATTACCATATATTTGGTCCACTTAAAGATGTTTCAAGAGGCTAAATACTTCCCTCCGGCCTAATGGCAAGGAATAAGTGGCTCACTGCTCAATTGAAAATCCTTCTTCTAAGGGGATCTTAAAGCTGGGGCAAAGATGGACCAAGAACATTGAAAAGCATGGTACCTGTGTTGAAAAATGGTCTCGTTGTCAATTTTTTACTGTTGTTGGAATCAATTATAAACATTGAGTGCAGATATTTAATGACATACCTTCATATTCAGTGTTTAAATAAAATAAATTACTTGAAAATTAGGCATACAGCTTTCTTATTTATCCTTCTTTGCAGCTGAATCATTATTTTGACACAATATTTGATCATAAGATAACATTTAAATTTTGTGTAGGGTGCTGCTGACCTGCACAACCATTTATATTACGATTTCTCACGTTATTGCTAGAAGGTTAATAAAATATGCCAGTTTTCCTACATTTTCATGCAGTTTTGTGGAAAGAAATGTAACATTTAATGTAGTATTTTATCACATCATTTTGGAAAATTTTGTCATTTTTCCTTGTATAAAATTTCTCAACATTGTTATCATAATCCTCATGTAATTGTCTTTTTATGTAAATGAGAAAACTGTATTATACATACCCAGTGTTGGTCAAAATACTTAGTATTTAAATACTTCAAATACTGTACATATGTAATATTATTGTAAAAATATTTGTTGCAACAATATATTGAAATTATCAATTACATTAAATTAGCAATGGATATTCGTACAAATTTCTGAACAATAACTATTGTAATGTATTGTAACAATACGTATAAACATTTTTAAATATAAAATGATACCAAAAGCATGACTAACACAAAGAAATGGATTTACTTTTAAAACGACTAATTTTTCAAATAAATCATCAGACAACCCCCTAATTGGCAAATGTGTAAAACCCTCAAAGGAAAACAGTCATTCATCTGGCATGGATGAACTAGTGTTATAACGAATAAATATTGTTGTTTTTTGCTGGATAATTTTCTAGCATTTTTAATGATTTAGATTTATCATTTAAAAATGAAAAGAATCCAAATTCAAAAACTGAAAGAAGCTTTTATTTATCTTTGAATGAGGTGGATTCACTAGCAGAATTAAACAAAAGAAACTATCCTTGTTCTAAACTATCTTATTCTTCATCTGTATTTGAAGTATTGCTTTTTAAAATACACATACTTTATGTATTTAAATACATCTCTAAAATACATGCCCAAGAAACTCAAAAATTTAGTTTTTCACGTACAAAATATATTTCAAATGTGTATTTCAAATGCATATTTTAAATACAAGTATTTAAATACTGCCCAACTCTGTGCATACTTATAAAATGTTCAATTGCAGAAAAGCATTTGAATATTGAGAGTTCTTATTATCTGCAAGAAAAAGTAGATTATTCCCTGTATTTTCATTTTATTAAAATCTCATAAGATAATGATATAATAATATTTTCTCCAAATAAATCGCAAGAGATGAAATATTCTTATGTGATTGTTTGGATTTTGATTTTTTATTATTTGGATTTGTTTGGTTGAATTTAGTTTTGCAAAGGAAGAAATCTAAACAAACTAAAATTGAAGTCTTTGAACACAAAACAGTAATCTTCTAACCTAAAAAAAAATTATGACAGATGGAGAGGAAACATCTACAGAGCGTAAGAAGCTTCTTGCAGGCAAGTTGAAATATTGTAGTTCAAAGGAATTTGCCTGGGGGAATTTACACAAGAAGTAGGAATCTCATTGTGATTAGAGACTTTGATGATTTTTTTTTTTTTTGCCAATCTGATCAATTGGTCAATTATGAAAAATGCCAAAAACCTTGCAAATTGAAACAATGATTGCCTACTACTAGTATTTTTAATACTTTCATCATCTAATTAACTTTTAATACATTTTGCAAGATAGAAAGAAATTTTCAGAAATTTTCAAGACACTAACCATTTTAAAAATAAGTTTTATGTGATTCTGTTTATCATCAATGTTTTTCAAACTAAAATTGCATAGTTAAAAGATCCTTGTACCAAATTCAAAATGCTGTGATAATACAGAAGTATCCATGGAAAATACTATGTCTTCTTTCATCATTCATGTATTTGCACTATTAATATTATTGTAGTACTTTAAGTTATCCAATTACATTATCACAGTATAGTAAAGTAATTTATTTTCTGTATTTGTATGTACAGGTCCAGTTTCCCATCAACCCAGAGCTTTAACAAGGCAGTTGAAGTGGATCCTGAATTCGAAACCAGTCGTACATCTACTCACAATGTGGAGATGTGTATGGATACGGCTGCCTTTCAACAGGAACAGAAAATCAAAACAGTAATAGATACATTGTAAGTTGCTAGATATTTTCAGTGCTGCTATCAAATAATTATTTTGCCTAATGATTTGTCTTCTCATTCCACTAGTTTTCTGCTATGATGATATAAATACTAATATTTGAATGCCGTGACATTTTCACATTTCTTTGCTCACTTTCTTTCTCTGCCTGTGCCATCATTCTCACTTTCACTTTGTCTCACTGTCCTTTTGTTTTTGTGACTGTCTCTATTTCTGTTTCTGCCTCTCTTCCTGACTCTCTCTCTCTCTCTCTCTCTCTCTCTCTCTCTCTCTCTCTCTCTCTCTCTCTCTCTTTCTCTCTTTCTCTCTTTCTTTCTCTCTTTCTTTCTCTCTTTCTTTCTCTCTTTCTTTCTCTCTTTCTTTCTCTTTCTTTCTCTCTTTCTCTCTCTCTTTCTCTCTTTCTCACTGTCTCACTCTGCTTCTCAGTCTCTCAATTAAAGAACCTGTTTGGTACCCCAAATCCCCTCCTACTTTCAGTGAAATTGCCCCAAGTAGAAGTTTAATTTAATTATGTTTTCTTTTTGTATTTTTTACATAGCAAATTGAATGAACATGTTCAAAGTATTCATGAACAAATATTGTCAGTGCACTAGAAAAGTGACACATCTAAAAACTTGTCATTTTGCAGGAGAATGATTTTAACTTAAGTAAAGTCATTTATTGTATGGTAAAAACATATTGTTTTACTCTAAATGTCAATTGTCAATTGAACCATCTTAAAGAAATTTGATAGGATTTTTTGAGAAATGGCATCTTTCTTGTGCATTGACAATGTGTGTTCACAATTTTTGCCTTGTATGACTTTCTGATTTTCCAAAATAATGGAATAATCCAAATCTTGGCTTGATGGAGATCTGTGACAAATGGTAACAAATAATCGTGAGTGATACATCATCTATGACAATTATATCAAAACTAGGCGTGATCCTGCTATTCTGTTCAAATTTACTGTGCAACTGTGCTGCTCAGGTCTATGTGAAACCAGAAGTAGTTTTGAGAATTGTCTATAAAAGAAAAAAAGATTTTATTAATATAAAATAAAACTTGAAAAAATCAAAATATTTCCTTTTATTCTTGAAAAGTGTTAAAAAAGATTGTGAAGAATTGGTGAAATATTTAAATACAAAGATCTGGGTCCTAGTTATCTTGCACTTAAATTCTCAGTACAAAACACCCAGCAGTGAAGGTTAATAACCTCTATTTTTAAATACCTACTAATATTAATGTGCAATTACATGAATTAAAAAATGAATTTAAATTCTGAGTGGGAGTCTACAGTACCAGTTTAACAGTGCATATCAAG